TGAGGCAGAAAATTTGGGTGAGGTGTCGGAAAGACAGAGGGGTCCTCTGAGCCAAGCTCAAATTAATATATTGCTATGCTTGTGCATTCTGTGACCTGCTGTTGGAAACAAATGTGTAATGTATATACACCTATGCATGGCGCAGTGTTTGTAAGTAAAAACATTAAGCATAAACACTTCTGCATGCATCTGACAATAGGATAGTCAGGGCTAATCCATGCAACTGTTCTGAACAGAAAATAAACCGTGATTTAAAAACCAATGATAGCTGGATCTCCTTGCCTGGTAAAGATATACAAGGTCTGGAATTCCTCCACTGAAAGGACTGATAAATTAAAGGTAATGCTTACTGATGAAAGTTTGCCAGAGAGCATGAAAAGTGAATTCTAGATCCGCTCTCTCAGTGTTGTTTCTAAAGACCAGACATAAAATATGCTCCCATAGTACCAGGGAAGTAACAAACCTGCCGACCATTGTCCCAGTAGGGATTGCATGTTTCAGACTGGCTGCAGAGTAGAAACGGTCTCAGCATGAGCTGCTTTGCAGCTGATGCCCCATGCTGTGTGTTAAGAATGTGTCAAGCAAACTACTCTCGTCTACATATTAGGAAACTCCGCTACAAGTTTTAATACGATTGATATTAGAAACTCACACAGAAACCTTTCCAGACTCAGAGAATCTCCCATATCAGAACTGCATTCTCTAGCAATATGGCTTTACTGGCAATGTGTTGAGATTCAAGTTTCTGAGTGCAGATTGTGCTCTGCATATAAATAGATCAGTCCCTAAATGCTCATGAAAATCAGGCTGGAAGTGCCTTTGAGGCCTGACAGTCGCCCATCTCTAACCCATCTCTAACCCATCTCTACAGCACCTTTAGTGTGAAAGGTATTACTTAGAGCAAAATCCCAGGCCTGTGCTGCAAGAACTGAGTTGGATGTCTCAACATAACCGCTTACATGGGATGGATGATGCAGGGTCAGATTCTACCATCCCAGTCAAGAGCAGGAGCTCACTCTGCAAACAGTCTGGTATGTACCAGGAGAAATTCTGAGAGGGGTCATAGTGATGGTTATTCTGGTAATTACAACATAACAAATAATTACTGGAGCCAGGACTGTGGAGAGGTTGGATTGGATGGGGAGGAACTGCCTGTGGAAGAGCATCACATTTCCGCAGAACGTAGATCAAGAATACAATCCCGAGGGACACACACCCTCAGCACGCTCACCTCCCACTCGTTCGGTTCCAGGCAGAAAGGAGCAGCTATTGCTTAGTGCTCCAGGAGGATGAACGGCACACTGATTAAAACTTCCAATTTTCTGTTAAAGGCTTTGCAATGATCAGCTTGTATGACTGTAAAAATGCTATTTATGACAATAAAAAGTTAAAGAAATCAACACAAGATTGCCTTGTGTACAGTTGATCTGTATATCACATTGTTTCTTAAAAGAAGGTAGTCTCCACTGTAGCACTATGACAAATGCTATTCTAAAAATAAATTTTATTTATTACATCTTAGGAACCTTCCCTGAATGTTCAAATCAACCGTTTTCTTCAAATGCTAATATATGCCCTGCCACCCATACTGTAGGACCAAGCAGTATGTGGCAATTGACTTCAATGAGACCAGGCGTTAAACCCACAAACAGAGCTCCAAAGAGCTCCACCACAACTGTGTGCATTGTTTGGAAGATAGCACTGAGGAGAGAAGTGGGATTTTGACCCAGAGGTGTTTTAAAGGTAGCAAGGACAGAAAGAAGCTCTCATCTCTGGGTCATGGCCTGGAATCACACCCCAAACTGAGGTATCCTGAAGCCAAATTCAGACCCAGAACTAGACGCTGCCTCTGAAAAGCAATGTGATTACTCCTGCTTGTTCCCAGATCAGCACTGGTCCTACAAGTTCTAGCGGCCATCAGAAGAGACCACATGAGCTCAACGAAAATAAAGCCCCAGTAATTCTCTGGCCTTGGCATGGTATCTGCATAAAAAGCTTGAAGCTGCTGTCATGCCTTCTTTGATCAAATAAACAGTAGATTTCTACTGGCAAAACTATCGTGTATGAAAAAAGCTTACTTTATTTAAAAAAAAACCCACAAAAACCTTTCATTTTTAAATGGACAATTCTTATTTTTAAAATGGCAAAATTAATCCATCTCATTCTCTGCTTAACTAGCAGAAAAGAAAGGAAAAATCATAGAGAAAGAGATTTCAGAGGCAGTACTAATATATTTCTTTAACTTCAAATTCCCACATGTTCAATAAAAAACTTTAGTGTATTATGGTGGATTAGCCTAGAAATATTGCTTAAACTTGTATTTTGTTATTAAACCTTACCTCAGCTAAATGAACGGAGGAAGGACATTGCCTGTAAATACCATGTTTTAAACATGTATTTTTTGTATCTCTTTCTATATTGTGGAAAATTTTCACTCCCATTAAACTTTGCTTTAATACAAACATTCTTTTGTTTTTACACTAAGGATAGAATAAAGCACATGACTCAGATCTGCGTGGCTGTATCTCAAGTTATATATTTACCATTCCATTTGTCACTAGAGTTCGCTGTCTTGCCTTGTAAAACCCCCTATAACTTTTGACAGAGAACATCTAATCCTAGACAAAATGGAAAAACTTGACCTCTTCTTATACATATTTGCAGAACTGTACAAATCTAGGTTCCCAGTGGGCTGATGCTTTGCTCTGTTTTGCAAGGCAAGCGATTGCTCAGAACTCTAGCAAAGGCAGTGTGCAGCTAACCGGTAGCCTGTTTTCTCATGGTGGGTCTGATCCTCACGGATGCTGAGCACCCATGGGCACACACCGAGACCCTCACCTGCTTCTCTTGGGAACAGAAAGCCATGAAAGACCCTATTCCTCATCATGTTCATCAGCAGTATTTTAGCTGTTGGCTTCAGAGGTCGTGAAATAAGACTTCCTAGTGCCATCAAAAAGCTACTCTGTACATTGCAGAATAAGGTCCTGCAGTGACTAAGCCTGCAGGAGATAATCTGCCTGACAACAACAGAGTGCTTTTATGTGGAAGTGGGAGTTGAGCATGTCAGGGAGAGGGTCTGTTTTTGTGGAACTCCTTTGCTCAGTGGAGAAAACTTGGGCTATACAGAGTATAAGTGTTTATTCCCACAGTACTGTTGCTGCATGCCAGAGCAGCAGAGCTGCCTATAACCACCTATTGAGAGGCTTTATCTGACTCAGACCAGCTAGTATTTTTTTAATTTATGCTAATAGCATCCTGGTGCCCCACCAAAGCTTGGCCAAAGCGTTAAGATCTTGTTTGGTCTAAAAGAAATCAAACTATCTTATGTAAAAAATTTTATTTCCTCCTTCTGGAAATCTCTTCAGAGACTGGTTGTCTGTAACGATTTGACATAAATTTCCAAACAAGCAAACTAGTGGATGCATAAAGTTTCCATTCACTTTCCAAACAATTCCATGGGCAGCGAAGAATGGCTCATTTCAGTGGAAAATTCTTTGCCACTTTCTACACAACATCTCAGATTGCTACAAAAGAAAGGCCATTTTTCTTCTTTCCTGCCCTGGTATTTCAATACATTTGTCTGGTACAACTTACGGTTGACAAAAGACAGCTAACTAAGAACAGTTATTAAGACTGCCATCACAGAGGAACCTTTTGGAGTTGTGAGAGTTTAGTTACAGGAACTGGGACTTTGTGAGAGCAAATTACTCTATGTTTTAGTAACCATTACCCTAAGAGTTTAACACTTAGAGTAGCTGCTTAGCATGCACATCATATTACACCACATCTCTGTTACTTATATAGAGGCCAGATAAGATTTTTATACACAGCACGGAACATGCAATTTACTGTTGGACAGAATAGCCAGGATTTGCGTTTCTGTACGTAAGCTGCAGGCTCAGATTTTGAACGGTTAATCCTCATTACTCACTTCATATTTCTCTTGCTATGTATCCATAAGCTGTGAACAAAAACATCTGTCAGCCAGGTCCTCTGTTCCCTCGCCCCAGCAAAGCACGGCTTTGAGTGGACTGAGTGGACTGTAACCATTCATCACCCGTAGAGAAACCTCTGGCATTTTAGAAAAGGCACAAGAAAATGACATTTTTGGAAGAGTCAGATCCAGCTCTGAACACAACCCACAGAAGTCTATTCCCTAAGCGACTTTAGAGGTACTGAAATATATTTTTAAGACCTGAGTCCACTGACATCTGTTCCTAGTCTCTGCAAGAACTGTGTCATGATCATGTTGTAATCTCCCTGTCAAGTATGCCTATAAAATCCAAAAGTGTTAGAAACATTCCAGTCAACTCAGTATCAGTTGGGAATGAAGCTAAAACCTGTACCTTGCATACTATTGATGATGGATTAGCCTTTGAAACCCCCCCTGAGCCTATCTGGCTCCTGGGAGAATTTCAGAAGCTCACAGGGTCAGCATATCAATTCCTTGAAGCAGAGGAAAGTAAAATCCTGCCAGGAAGAAGAAGGAAGAGAGACAAATCACTTCTACACTCCCCAACATCTGCCACCTATTGGAGTGCATGCTGACATCCCTCAATCCCTCCCAAAACAAAGTGACACTATTGCTAAGACCCATTCAGCCATAGAGCCTGCATTCTTTCCTACAGACAGCTCCAGAGTTTTGATTCAGCTCTTGATCTCAGATGACAGCCACTGCTGCCCTCCTGCCAGTGTGTCTACGGGCTTGGGTTCAATAGGCAGCAGGAAAACAAAAGGGAGGGAAAAGGAGAAAATAAAATTAAAATGTGATTTTTTTTTTTTTCCAAAATGAAGAACTGAATTCTTTAACCTTTAAACATGCTTGTTTACTTACAGAAAGAGTATTTCAGGCACAAAAGGTTTGAGTATCAGTCACATACCAGGTTAAATTGTAATAGTATCAGGATTGTCCCATGCAGTGCAGTCAGCTATATTATCCCCTATTAAGAAGTTGAAGTTGTAGTTTTTGTATACATACATTTATATAAAGTATGCATCTTTCACACTATGGTCTCCTGGTCTGAGTTGACTCCAGTAGGGTTTATGTAACAACAGTATCTGTCATAAGGGCTGTTCTCCTTGTAAGAGCAGACAATGATACTGTCTTTAGGAGCCACAAAAATGTTGTCTTCAATGTCAGGGCGAGGAGCACTGTCCCTGGTGGGAGAAGAGCTCTTCTTCTCCAAGGCACTGTACGTGGAGCCATCTCCCACGAACACATTCCCCGGCATCTCTGGGTAACAGGTCTCCAGGTATCTCAGCATCTCCTCCTGCTCCACCTTTCTGATGAGGCTTTTGCACTCTCCCATGGTGGTGGTGGTGGTGGTGGTGCAGATGGACATGGAGTCCTCGCCCCGCAGCACTCTCCTATCCTTCTGGTATGCTTTCTCGGCCAGCTCGTCGCAACTGCCCTTGCCAGACTCCAGGTCCGAGGGGGTCCTCAGCAGCTCCGTGACATCCCGGTCCTTGACTTGCTTGCAGCACGGACACTTGTTCTTGGGCCATTTGGTGCAGCCGTCAGTCTTTCTGGTGAGGGCGATGGCAGCGATGCCTGGCAGGCAGATGGCCGGCCCAATGGCCAGCAGCGGGATGTCCCCCAGGGTCTCTCCCTTGATGCCGGACACGGTGAACATGAAGCCGAACACCAGGAAGACGCTGACCAGAGCCACCACCAGCCCCGTCCGGGGGTTGATGTCGTCGGGTCTCATGGTCCGCACCATCCTGCTGGTGTGCAAGGGACCGCTCTCCTTCACCGAAGCGGCCCCTCGGGGCGGGGGGTGGATGCTCCCCGGCAAGTGCCTCAAGTTTCCCGGACAGCGAAGCGCCGGGACGGCCGGCACC